TTAAAACTTTTTTTGGTAAAATACTATTATTTGGTAGAATTTGTTCAACAACATCATTAATTATTAATTTTTTCTTACTTATCATGAAGCATCAAATTCCATTACTTTAGTCTTAGTTTTCCTTTGCCTTTTTCTGGTTTATTTAAGTTTGAGTTCTTTTGGCCACAAGCAAAGAATCTCCTTTTACAAATGGTTAAATGCTAAATTTAGTTTCTCAACTTTAAGAAATGCACATTTTTTATCCCTCAATAATTTTTTGTATTTTTTTATCCCTCAACTCTAAAAATTGCACAGTTTTGGTCCCTCCGTTAGTTAAGTATGATGTGGCAATTAAATAATTTCATGTGGCATTATCTTTTAATTTTTTTTATTATGTGGCAATAATATATATTTTAATTATGTTATATAAATAAATAAAAATAACACGTAGATTAATATTTATAGTTTAAATAAAAACAAATAAAATTACCTAATTACCCTCACCCACCCAATCGCTCTTCTTCCCTTTCTTTCTTTCTCTTTCTTTCTTTCCTACCCTGGGTCTCCACTAGACTGGATTCCGATGGCTACAACGAACCCAGCCTTGCTGGGTCTTGTCGAACCCAACAAGGTTGGGTCTTGTTACACCTAGCCTGGCTAGGTCTCTCTTACTGGGTTCCAACGAGACCCAATAGGCTGGGTTTCCCCGAACCCAGTTGCTGGGTTCGACGAGACCCAACTTTGCCATTTCGATGCTGGATTCATGTTGTTTCATTTTTCTTTCGATTTTCATTTCCAATTGTTAATAAATTTGAGAGTTGATTTATAATTTGATTGTATTTTTGTTGGCATTTGATTAGAGTTTGATTGATATTGTTTATTGAAGGGTTAATTTGATTTGATAAGATCTACTAAGTTTGAGGCTTCAATGAAACCCAATAGCTGGGTTCAATTTCTCAAGTTCTCTTGAGAAAAGAGGAGAAGAAGAAATGTGTTAAGATCGGTTTTGTAGAGGAGTGGAGATGAGAAAACATTTAGAGAAGAAAAAGAAATGGGTTAAGATTGATTCTGCAGATGAAATGGAGATTGATTCTGCAGATGGAGTGGAGATTGATTTTGCAGAGAGTGAAGATGAGATGTAGTCAAAAAAAGTCCAAATCAGCGCTTTTTTAAGTTATTTTCGTCATGTCATAAAAAAAATATATAAAAAATGCCATTTGGCCGATTTAATGACGAAAATTGACAGAAGGACTAATGGAGTGCATTTCGTATAATTAATGGATAAAAAAAGTGCAAAAAATTGTTGAAGGACAAAAAATGTGCAACTTACTAAGGTTAAGAGATCAAATTTAACATTTAACCTTTACAAATTCCCCAACTCAGAGGAAAAGGTGTCTTAGGGCTTGTTTGGTTATCTTTATAGGAGCTTTAGTTTTTTGACACTATTTATGTGTCATAAGTCAATTTTTTTTTTTTAAAAAAAATTTTTTTAACTTTTTTTAAACTTTAAAAAGACCCTAAACAGTAAACGTTCAAAAGTTTCAAGTTCAAATTTTTCATAAATTTCTTTTTTATTTACTTTTTATTCATTTTTTCATATTTCTAAAATTAACTTTTAAATTTTTTCTCCAATAAAAATTTAAATTTATCACTTATAAATAATACAAAAGAAAAGAGCAAAAACTCTAAAAAGTTCCACCTATAAACAATACAAAAAAAGCAAAAACTCTTAAAAGTTCTACCGAACAAGCCTTTAATCTTGATGTAGTTACTGCAACTTTATCTTTATTTTTTTCTTTATTTTTTGAGTAAACTTTTCTTTTGAGATTTTTAAATTTAATAGTCATATCCTTCTGGTTTTAATAAACTTAACTGCCTTTCTACTTCTTTCTTCTGACTATTTCATTTCCATGGTGTAGGATTCTAAGCTGGATGTTACAATTGGTCCATACGAGACATATGAAGATGCATTGTTTGGGTACAAGGTGTTGATGTTTTTACTATTTCCTTCCACTCCAATTATTTTAGTATTGCATAACATTGGCGTTGTTGAAGAAGTCAGGCTTACTTAATAGTTTTGCTTTTATATTGCTTCCCTTGTGAAAATGTTGCAACATGCCTTTTCCTTTCATAGGTGCATTGAAACATGCTCTTTTGAATTTGAAATGTCCTCTGGAGACTTTGGATAACTATTATATCCGGTATACTATAAGTCCATGAAACATTAAATTTAAATTTACAAATTTATTTATGTGAAAAGTAAAGGAAAAATTCCTTTCGTCCACATGATTTGGGCAATCTACAATGTCCCATCCATATGCAGTTAAGTCAAATATATTTACAAGCTTTAAAAGGGTTAAAGCCAACTGTAGTCCTCATACTTTGTGAAAATGTTCAGTACCATTCCTCTACTAAGGAAATGTTCAATGTCATCCCTCTACAGTTTACTACTCTTTTTTTGTTAGATGTCATCCTTAATTGGATGCCATCCATCTTGCTGTTAACTTTGACTATTAATTACCTAATGGTCAAACATTTAACTTTTGTTAATTAATTTTTTATTTACTAATAGAATTTATTAACTCTCTATTAAAATAAAAAAAATTATAAGACCAATTATCAAAAATTAAAAATGTAACAATTTAATTTCAAAAGTTTAAAAAATAAAAAAATTAATAACTTAAAAATAATTAGTAAATGACTTTATCATATGTATGAGATTAATGTTAGATATCTACAATTAGATTGAGTGATTAACTCAATCTAACTAAAGAAATCTAATTAAGATTGAAAAAAATTTCTTAGCTATATTTTTTTGATCTCTTAAATTTTCTATCTTAATTCAGTTAATAAATTTTCCTTAATTTCAATCAAAATTCTTTTTCCAAATTAGGCTAATCACTCGATTTGATTATAAACATCTAATATTGTTTTAGTATATGTGAAAAAGTCATCTATTAATTCTTTTTAATTTACTAATTTTTATAATTTTTGAACTTTTAGAATTAAATTATTACATTTTTAATTTTTAAGGATTAATCCTATAATTATTTTATTCTAATTTTAATAAAGAATTAACAGATTCCGTTAATTTAGATGCTAAAACTAGAAAAAATAATACATAACAAAAAAAAATAAAGAAATTGGTCCCACTGATCTCACTAGGTGTATATAAAATTAATAAACAAAGAGTTATTTTAATTTGTGTCTTAAAAGTTATTCTAGTTTGTGTCTTTAAGGTATCGGTTAAAAGTTAAAAAAAATAAAAAGTAATATTTAATTTATCAATTGTCTAATTAAATTTATTTACGTGACAATGATACTAAAATTAATGTTTACTTTTATATTTTCTTATACAAATTTATTACAAAAAAATTATTATTAATATGTGCTCTTAGAAAAATTCATAAATAAAAGTTGAATATTTGATTGTTAGATAATTAATGGTCAAAGTTAACAGCAAAATGGATGGCATCCAATTAAGGATGACATTGAACAAAAAAGGGATAGTAGAGGGATGACATTTATGGTGTAAGAAAAGTAGAGGCATGACATTGAACATTTCCTTAGTAGAGGGATGATAATAAATATTTTCACAAAGTATGAGGACTACAGTTAGCTTTAACCCGCTTTGAAATGGCAAAGGCTAGCATTTCTTGGAATATGGGAACTCATTATACCACAGTGTATAAGTGTCACAAGGCAAACCACATTATGGTATATAAAAAGTAGGCACTACTTTATTATTATTATTATTATTTTAGGGGTGCATTAAGTGAAGTCATCCATTATAAAGAATTTATTAATAGTTTTCATGGTCTCAAATATTTTACTTTTCAGTTTATTTCTTATATCTGGATGAAAAAAGACCTAAGAACTTAGAAGATGTGTTCAATTTCTAATGTTAAAGATGTCAAATATGACACTGAGAATTTAAAAGGCATAATAGCATTTTCAAGGCTTATACTTATACCTAATACTTATGAATGTTTTTCCATACTGTAAATTCTTCAACTGATTTTTTCATTCATCTTAATTATCCTCATGAACTTGTTAGCTCATTTTGGACAGCTTGTTGTATGGCTTAAGTGTGCATGTCTGCTGCAAACTGCATGCCTTTGTGTTGTACATGTTGGAAATCAAATTTGAAACAAACTGTATTCATATTGCAATGATTTGATTATTTTGATGTGATGTGCAGCTTGTTTAATGCACTATATTTATCTTAGGCTACATTTGAAGCATTTATTGGAGTTCGAGATGACAAAGCAACTGCTCAAGTTAAACTCTTTGGTGATAATTTGCAGGTATTTTGTGTAGTTTTGACAAGCTAAGAGCCTAAGATGTATTCCCTTTCTTCTGAGCAATTTGTTCAAAATCTTTTCTATCTTAGGTTTTGGAAAAAAATCTTCCATTGGATAACGCTTACAAATCAAAAGATGTTATTGCTGCTCCCATTCGTGTCATCCAGCTCATTTATAATGCAGGGGTGAGTTGTTACTTGAAAATCTTTTATGTTATTATATTCTTTTCAAAAAAATCTTTTGTTTATGTGGCACTAGGCCCATCACACGTGGAAACAAGCAAATGCCTGTTCACATATGTGCATAAGTTTAGACATGCTCGCATATATTTGCATCTTCATTCTCATATAAGATTTTTGGCACTATGCTGTAGGAAGATTTTGTTCTAAACATCGTATGGCACATATTCATTGTTTAAAAATCCATCTTCATGCCAACCTATGTGAACTTTGATTTAGAAACAATTTTGTTGGAAATAGATACATAAGTATTTGGTAGATTGAGAGAGTAATTGGATGGACCAACAAAGAACTTATGCACATACTCTATGTAGATACATCACATTGTTAAATGATTTGTATTGAAAATTAAATATGAGAAACGAGAAGAGGGTATGGAAGTTTTTATTTTGATTATCTATTTCCTCTTCTCTTGACTGTAATTCTAATTTACACAATAATATAATATTAAACAGGATGTAAAGGGTCCTCAGACTATTGCCTTCAATTTACCAAATGAAGAACGAATTGTAAAGGACCGAGGGACATCCATGGTCATGCTTAAGAATGCCTCAGAGGCAAAGTACACCTTTTAGTGCTTTTCAAAAAATTTTAATCATTATTCTTGGAAAAAAAAAATAGAGGTTAGACTTTTAACACTTTTCCTTCTCAACCAGGTTTAAGCACATTCTTGAGCCGATAGCTGACACATGTATCAAAAAGGAACAAAGGGAACTTGTAGATTTTGAGTCTTTCTTCCTTCACACTATCTTCCATGAGTGTTGCCATGGCATTGGGCCTCATACGATTACGCCTCCTGATGGGCGAAAGTCAACAGTTAGATTGGTTAGTCATGTAACTTCCTTTTATTGTATATGTTTCCCATTTTGGTAAATTGAATCTTAAAACATGTCTGTTTGGTATCTCCCAGGCAAATATAATTTATTTGTTGTTCATAAAAAATGAAAAAATAAATTCCTACTCATTTAGTCCCCATAGTTCCAATTTTAGGTAAACATCGAGCAGTTGGATTATTGTTGCTTGGGGTTGCATTTGTGTAGCCCAAGGAATACTCAGATGTAGGTGATATTTTCTAGAAAAGGATTTGAAGAATTCCAATTGTCTTCTTAAGTTAATGAGAAGATTTATATATAGATAAATAGTGAACAAGCTGCTTGAAACACTGAGGACACTGGGTTTCTGACAATATGAATAGCTGCTTGGTTATCACACGCTAATAGGTTGTAGCTGTTTAAAATCAAGTTCCTCCAACAATTTTTGAAACCAAATCAACTTACAAGTAATATTTACCATTGCCCTTCCCCTATGTTCAGTCTCAACACTAGACTTTGCTACCACTTCTTTTATTCTTAATCTTCCAAGATAATGAAGACACGATATCCAATGTTAGGTTACCACGTTTCTTTTATATAGAGAACCTGCGCAATTTGCTAGTATGCAAGGAGTTTTAGGTACATTTTTTTTTCCTTAATCTGCAATTACTGTAGTTGAGGATTGTTTCTGGTCTTATATTCAAGAACAGGTCACTTGCAAAAGAAAAAGAAAATGAAGAACAGGTCTGACATGTTAGCAGTTGTTACTATCTCTGATTTGCCATTGTTTTTCTTATATTTTTTTTTTTTGCAGGAGCTGGAAGAACTATACTCGGCTTGGAAGAAGCAAAAGCAGATATAGTTGGTCTTTGGGCACTGAAGTTTCTCATCAGCAAGGTTGATTACTAAGGCTCTATTTAAGATGGTTTTGGTTTTTGGTTTTTAGATTTTAGTTTTATATATTTAGTAACTAATACTATATTTAAATTAAATTTAATAGATTCTAATTTTTATAATAAAGTTTGGTTTCTAAATATAGCAATAATTACTAAATAAATAAAAAATAAAAGCAGAAAAATCAAAACTCAAAACCATACTAAATGGAGCCTAACTTTTTCATTTTAGTTGGATATGATGTAACTGTATTTACTCTCAAGTAAATAATGGTTTTTGCATTAGCCAATTCTTTATTATTTTTCTAGTCTATTATCAATAGGGTTAGGATTCTTACTGCCCATGTCATTTTCTGCTATCATTCTACAACTTTTAAGCTTTCATGTTGTTTCTCAACAATGTTGACTTTTTAACTTATATATAACATGTCATCAAATTTCTCATATTGACAAGATGGTTTAGCTTAAAAGAGAGGAGCTTAATTGTTAGCACTGAAATGATGACATTACAGGAAGTCAACCAGAAAATGTTTTTTTTCATTAAGTTTAGCAGATAGAACAACTATTTTGATAATCAAAAGAATTATTTTAACATACATACTTTTGATAATTACTTATAAGAATACCAATTTCTTTATGACACAAAAAGTGTTGATTGGAGAAAGTGTACCCATCATATGCAACCAGATCAGTTACGTTACTTTCCTGCTTCATTCTTTGTAATGCTTTGGAGCAGTTTAATTTCAAACATAATTCCCCCCTAATTGATTTGAGACAGTTAAAGTTTTTGTCAAACTTTTATTTGCAGGCAAGGAGGTATAGAATTCAACTTCCAAATGTTGGTCTTAATATTCTTCTTTTAACAAATTCAGGTCTACTTAAGGTATCTAGAGTTTAGGAATGTTTGTTCCATATTATGCTTGGATATATTATAATATTATATATAGTTGTGTTGCTTGTGCATTAGTTCTTATATGTGGAACCTACCCATGGCTGTGTTTCATTTGATCTCTCTGTGCTTAATTTGCTGGGTCAAAATTTGCTTCCAAAAAGTTTGGTAAAATCCATGTATGGTACTTTCCTTGTGGGATGTTTCCGCTTAGTATGATTTGGCTTAGAGGAAGCTCATGGGTAAGCTTGCTATTCCTCATCAGCTGTTGATAAATTATGTTATTAATGCTGACTGTTCTCTATTTATTGATATTGTCAAGAAAGTACAGGCCTTGCAGTTTAATTGGTTATTTGAGAAACAAAGCCTTCACCTTGCATCCAGATGATACATTTTCTGTTGATTTTGATAAGGTGCGTCAGTTCTAGATTAACTCTCCTATGAATTTATTTCCTGAAACACTACTGCCAATAAGCTTTGTTATTTGAAAGGTTGAAGAAGCGGTTGAAAGCTTGAGTAGGAAGATATTAACGATACAGGCACAAGCCCACAGGGTGACAAGGAAGCTGCAAGGTTGCTTCTTCAGAAGTACTGTGCTATTACAACACCATTAAAAGTTGCATTGCAAAAATTAGAAGGCACTCAGGTATGTGCTACAGTATTCTTGCATCTTCTGATGCATACGTATACTCATTGAGAATTAGTTTAATCACTATAAGATGACATATTTATAGGAATTTTGTGTTGAGAAGGAATTAAGCGGTTTTTCTAAACAGATATGAGTTTGAGACAGATGAAACTGTCTTGACTTATATATGTGACATTGTAAGTAAATCATTTCATTCACTTGGGTGATTTTATTTGGTTAATTTTTGAAAGTGAGATGATCACAAAGAGAATGCATAATATTGATATTGGAGTTAGGCTTATGTGAAGGAATTGAAAATATTAAAGTATTTTATAATAAAGCAATTTTAATTCCTCTAATTAGAAGTGTCTACATATTTTCTGTGTAAAAGGGAATTTATTTGGGTTAATTTGAAAAATAATAGTTTACTACTGCACCCATATTTTGGTAGAAGCCATCTTTGTTGAGTTTTGAATTGTGGCTTGGGATTTTCTCTATCTGTACATGACTTGGAAATTACTACTAAATTGTTTTTATCTTCATTTATCATCTTGCAGGTGCTGGTGGATATAGCTCCCACATTTCCTGTGGCCCAAAAATTATTTCAATGAAGGCAGCTGTCCGTTCACAAATCAGAATGAACCATAGCGGGTGGGTTGTCTAGAACTGTCATAGGTTATCATGCAAATTGTATTGCAAGGAAAATCTAGCATAG